ATTACCTATAAGATATAGAAAATTTCCTCAAAACACCAAATCTAAGAATTATTGGTATTCAAGAAGGAACTAAGCAAGAGCAAGGACTAGAACATTTATTGAAAGAAAGAATAACAAAAAACTTCCCCCAAACTTTACAAAGATATAAATATCCAGACACAAGAAGGTCTGAGAATACAAACAGATTCAATCTAAATAAGACTACCCCGGGGTATGTAATAATTAAACTCTCAAAGGTCAAAGACAAAGAGGATTCTAAAAGCAGCAAGAGAAAAGAAGCATATTACATGTAAAGAGCTCCAGTTTTTCCGGCAACAGACTTCTCAATAGAAACCATACTGGCTAGAAAGGAGTAAAACAACATTTCAAAATGCTGAAATAAAACAACTACCTTACAATAATACTGTACCCAGCAAAGTTATCCTTCAAAGATGAAAGAGAAAGTCTTTCCCAGACAAATAAAATCTAAAAGAATTCACTACCACAGATCCATAGTAAAAACCAAAATGCTAAAAGGAGTTATTCACTTTTTATTACTTTAATAAAAAATCAAGTAAACAATCCCATTTATAATAGCTTAAAGAATGTAAAATACCCAGGAATCAATTTAACTAAAGAAGTGGAAGTGCTATACAAGAAAAACTATAAATCACTGATGAAACAAATTGAAGAGGACACTAAAAATGGAGTTATCTTTCTATGCCTATGGCTTGGAAGAATTAATACTGTTAAAATGACAATACTACCCAAAGCAATTTACAGATTCAATGCAATCTCTATCAAAATATCAATAACATTCTTTACAGAAATAGAAAAAGAAATCTTAACATTTATACGAAACCACAGAAGACCCCAAATAGCCAAAGGAATTCTGAACAAAAAGAATAAAGCTGGAGGCATCACACTACTTGACTTCAAAATGTACTATAAAGCTATAGTGACAAAATCAGGCTGGTACTGGCACAAAACAAACCGATTCATAGAGCAGAATAGAGAACCCAGACATAAATCTACACATTTACAGCCAACACCATTTCAACAAAGGTGTTAAGAACACACTATGAAGAAAAGACATTCTCTTCAATAAATGGTGCTGGGAAAACTGGTAACAGTATGCAGAAAAATGCAACTAGACCCCCTATCTCTCACCTTAAACAAATATCAAATAAAAATAGATTAGATTTAAATCCATGACCTGAAACTATAAAACTACTAGAAGAAAACATTGGGAAAATATTCCAGGACATTGGTCTGGGCAAAGACTTTTTGTGGAAGACCTCAAAAGTACAAGCAACTAAAGCAAAATTAGACATATGGATTACATCAAGCTAAAATGCTTCTGCACAGCAAAGGAAACAATCAGCAAAGTGAAGAGACAACTCACAGAATGGGTGAAAACATTTACAAACTACCCATATGACAAGAGTTTAATAATCAGAATATATAAAGAGCTCAACCAACTCAATAGCAAAAAAAAAAGTCAAATTTAAAAATGGGCAAAAAGTGTGAATAGACATTTCTCAAAAGAAGACATACAAATGTCCAATAGGTGTATGAAAAAATGCTCAACATAATTAATATCAGAGAAATGCAAATCAAAACTACAATAAGATGTCATCTCACCCCAGAAAAAATGGCTTTTATCAAGACAGGCAATAACAGATGCTGGTGAGGATACAGAGAAAGGGGAACCTTCCTACACTGTTGGTGGAAATGTAAATTAGTACAGCCACTATGAAGAAGTAGGAGGTTCCTCAAGAAACTGAAACTAGAATTACCATGTGATCCAGCAATTTCACTACTCGGTATATATCCAGAAGAAAGGAAATCAATATATCAAAATGACCCCTGCACTCTCATGTTTATTGCAACACTATTTGCAATAGCCAAAATATGGAATCAGTGTAAGTGCCTATCAGTGGATGAATGGATAAAGCAAATATGGCATATGCAAACAATGGAGTGTTATTCAGTCATAAAAAAAAATCCTGTCATGTTGTTACAGCAACATGGAAGGATATGGAGGTCATTATGTTAAGTGAAATAAGCCAAGCACAGAAAGATGAAAAATCACATGTTCTCAGTCACATGTGTCAGCTAAAACCCGGCTCTCATGAAGATAGAGAGTAGACTGGTGATTGCCACAGGCAGGAAAGGTTGGAGTGGGAGAGGAATGATGAAAAGAAGTTAATTAATAAGTATAAATATATACAGTTTGAGAGAAGAAATAAGACCTAGTGTTATAGCAGAGTGACTATAGTTTACAATAATCTGTTGTATATTTGAAAATAGCAAGAAGAGAAGAATTTGAATGATTCTAGCATAAAGAAAAGGCAAACATTTAAGGTGATAGATATTCCAAGTACCACTGATTTGATCTTTACAAATTACATGAATGTATTAAATTATCACATGTACCCTGAAAGCATGTTCATCTATGAGGCATCAATAAAAAATTAAAATGGAAAAATTTTTAAATTAGCTCTAAAATGTATAAGAAGAAATCTAAGTCAAGGTATCTCCCATTGTTAAGCCCACATCTGGGAAGCAGCATGGAGAAATGAACACTGGAAAGAGAATGGGCTCTGGGATCAAGCAGGCCTTGATGTGAAGGACAATGGGACCTCAGACCATCACATAAGTGTCAGACACTGAGATTTCTCAACTGCAAGACACAGAAAACAATATTCATTTCGTGGGTCTATTGTAAGCATTATCCGTGATATATTTACAGCTCCTGGCACAGAGTAGGTGCCAAAATTTGGTGGTTACTAATAGACAATTCACTTAACTCTGAGCTTAGTTTTCTTATGTCTAACAGGAAGACAATGATTACTATGAGAGAATAGATATAAAAAGGATTTATGAGCTGTAAAATTCTCTGTCGAGTCAAAATTATTATAAATAATTGGGAAGCCAATATATGTAGATATAGGGCATTTGCTAATACATAGGTTACATAAAAGTGTATGATTTCTATCTCTGAAAATATTGTAAACCAGGGCTGCAGGGAAGAGGGGAAGGGGCAGGTTGTAGTATTAAAAACAGTGGTCAGACAGGCACATGTATGTTCATTGAAGCACTATTCACAATAGCAAAGACATGGAATCAACCTAGATGCCCATCAATGATGGACTGGATTTTTTTAAAAAAATGTGGTACATATACACCAGGGAATACTATGCAGCCATAAAAAAGAATAAAATCATGTCCTTGGCAGCAACATGGATGCAGCTAGAGGCTGTTACCCAAAGCAAATTAATACAGGAAAAGAAAACCAAATACCACATGTTCTCATTTATAAATGGGAGCTAAACATTGAGTACATATGAACACAAAGAATGAAATTACAGATCCTGGGGTCTATTTGTGGGTGGAGGGTAAGGGTTGAAAAACTACCTATCATTGCCTGGTTGACAAAATTATCTGTACACAAAACCCCTGTAAGATGCAATTTACCCATGTAACAAACATGCACATGTACTCCCTGAACCTAAAATACAAGTTGGAAAGAAAAAAAAAATAGTAGTTAGGATGGGCCTCATTAAGAAGGCAAGACTTGACACAAACCTGTAGCAGGTTTGGGAGGCCGAGGCGGGTGGATCACGAGGTCAAGAGATTGAGACCATCCTGGTCAACATGGTGAAACCCCGTCTCTACTAAAAATACAAAAAATTAGCTGGGCACAGTGGTGCGTGCCTGTAATCCCAGCTGCTCAGGAGGCTGAGGTAGGAGAATTGCCTGAACCCAGGAGGCGGAGGTTGCGGTGAGCCAAGATCACGCCATTGCACTCCAGCCTGGGTAACAAGAGCGAAACTCCGTCTCAAAAAAAAAAAAAAAAAAAAACCTGTAGCGGGTGAGTATCTGCAGGAGGGGTCTCCTGAAAAAGGGAAAGATTAGCGCCAACGCCCTACAATGGGAGCAGGCAGGCTAGCATGGCTAGAGTAGCACAAGTATAAGGAAGAGTTGTGAGGCAAAAACTCAAAGAGGAAACAGCAGTCAGATGATGCTCGGCCCTAGTGCACATGTTAAGGACTGACTTTTACTCTCATTGAAAACTATGATAGGGTTTTGAGCAGAGAAATAACATGATCAGCCGTTTTAGAAGAATTACTCTGAGAATAAAATTTCCAGTGGCAAGTACAGAAGCAGGCTAACCTGAGCAAAAGCTACTACAGGGATCCAGGTGGCAGAGAATGGCTGAAAGTCAAATGAGAAAGAGTTGAAGAGAATAAATGGCACAGCTAAGAGATTAGCACAACTCTTGACTACGAGCTGTAAACACAAAATGCAGTGCAGAGCCCGGAGAGTGCTCGTGTGAGTGAGAGGCCCTGAAGCTCAAGTTCTGTCATCAGCCCTGCACACCCACCTCTTTACCAGCCAAGGTCCTTAGCCTTGTAGGTTGGGTGGATGGTGAGGTGCTTACCAAGTTGGGTACCCAGGAGGAGATGAGAGTTTGCAAGCAGGAAGAAGACAGATCATGCATTTCATTGTGAGATTTTTGATATTCAGGGGTCAGTGCAATGCCCAAGTGAAAATGGGCTGGTTTCCCTGCTCCTAACGATACTGCCCAGAGGTACCAGAATGACCTTTCCTTTTTTTTTTTTTTTTTTTTTTTTTTGAGACAGAGTCTTGCTCTGTCACCAGGCTGAGTGCAGTGGTATGATCTCGGCTCACTGTGACCTCCACCTCCCAGGTTCAAGCGATTCCCCTGCCTCCGCCTCCCTAGTAGCTGGGCCTGCAGGTACGTGCCACCACAACCGGCTAATTTTCTGTATTTTAGTAGACAGTTTTTCACCATGTTGGTCAGGATGGTCTGGATCTCCTGATCTCATAATCTACTTGCCTCTGCCTCCTAAAGTGCTGGATTACAGGCAGGAGCCTCTACACCCAGCCAGGATCACCTTTCTAAAAGACACATCTGATCAAATCACTTTCTGGCTTAAAAATCTCAGTGCTTCCCTTTGCCCATATTTCTTTAAAAAGAAATCATTACTTACAGTCTAGCCCTGGCCTGTCTGTCCAGCTCTGTCTTCCTCCATTCCATCCCTGGCACACTGTTCCATCTGACTTGCAACTCCCTCTGTCTACAATGTCCTTCTCCAACTACTGAACTCCTCCACTCCCTACACTGCCCTGATCTAGCTTCTGTGAAACCATGTCCCCTCCCTGCACCTCCTCAAAGGCAGAACTAACCACTTCCTCCTCTGCAGACTCAAAGCCCTCTGTACACAGTTCCATGAAATCTGCACCCAGAAACAAGAACCCATAAGCCTGAGCGGCAGGGTTGGCAATGGAGTAATTACGGACTTTAGAATTAGATTAACCTGGGTTAAAACACACATACACACACACACACACACACACACACACACACACACTCTTGCTGTATATAACTTTAAGCATGTTATTTAATTTTTCTAAGCTCAGCTTCTTATAAAATTCATGCCTATTTTGTAGAATTGGTGTCAAGATTAAATGAGATAATTTAAGTAAATCACCCCAAATAGGACCTGGCATACAACAGGTCTCCAAAAATTATCATTTCCCTCCAGACCCTGTTCCTCTTGGGAGGAACATGTTTTATTTATATTCCATATATGTCCCATTGTCACTGGTCACCAGCACATAATAGGTGCTTTGTAGACATTAACCTGAATGAATGGACCCTGTCTTCTCAGAAACATTTACATCTACATTTTAGAAGTAAATGAGTTCAGAGATTAGGACAGAAATTCTAATGTGGACCTTAGTATGTAAATCCCCTTGGGTCTAATATCAAACCAACTGCTTCCCCTTGGCAGCCCCAGCAGAGCCCTTGTCTGTCTCTGGGGAGCATCCGGCCATCCCGCCTGTGAAGATCTCCCTCACTGCTCTTCAGAGCTTGCGTTACACCGTGCTTTTCTCACCTCCGTCTCAGCTGTGCTCCCACTCCTCAGCTTTGTTGGTTCTGTTTTCTTCTGCCATTTTCACCACACACCATATGGCTCCCTCCTTGCCTGCCTGAAGCCTGGAACTTCACAGCCTTCTCCAGGCTTTCCCAGGGCAACCTGGGCCCTTTGGGCCTGCTGACTACCCCCTTTAACTAGCAGCTCTGCCCTGACGCTGACTTTGAAACCCAACACTGTTTTAAGGAGACACAGGACACAGCCTTTCAGTAAATCCACTTCAGGGGCTGGGTCTGCCAGTTAACTATGAGCCTTGAGTGTTTTGAACAGGTGGTGATCTTCCAAACACAATACGATCGTGTGTTTAATCTTAGATTCGTGAGAGGATAGTAGGGCAAATACAGAAAAACACAATTTTACCAACTTTTGCCAACCTCCTCCAGCATCCAGTGAGGCAGCCTCCTGGTGCAGAGGATCCAGTAAAAACTCTGGACCTTAGTTTCTTCATTTGGGAAACAGATAATAATACATGTCACACAGAGTTACTAGTTGATATCATGTCTGTATTTGTTATCTAGCAATGCATAAGAAATCAGCCCAAAACTTTTAGCCTTACCAAAGCAATGTTGTTTATTAGCTCTTGCAGGTTTTGCGGGCCAGGAATTTGAGAGCAGCTGAGCTGAACTAGTCTGACTCCGGGTCTCCCAGGAGATTGAGGCAAGTGTGGCGAGTGCCTACAGCTGGGGTCAATTTCAAGGGTTCTTCATTCACACGTCTTTTTCCTGGGCTGGGAAGACAAACAGTGAGCAGGGGCTGGAGTAGCTGTGGCTCCCCAGGCACCTCCCTCTATCTCTTTGGGCCCCTCCACAGGGTCCCTCCAAACGGACCCTTCAGGGTTTCTGGATTTCTTACGAGGTAGCTCAGGGCTCCAAAGGTACATGTCTCACTTGAGAGAGAAACAGGTGAAACGGTATCATCTTTTCTGGCCTGGTTGGAAAGTCACACAGTAGCATCACTTCCATTGCCTTTTATTTGTTAGAAGCAAGTCACTACCACCAAACTATATTCTAGGGGAGAGGAATTAGACCCCTCCTTCTTTTGAAAGAGTGCTGAAAAATTGTGGACATCCTTTAAAAACACCATTGTATACACGCCCAGTCCTTAATAAGTAGCAATTTTTTGTATGCATCAGATGAGTTGAAAAATCAGACAAAAAAAAATTCCTCTGTGCCCTGTCATTCCTATCTTCACTCTTCACAAACACACTCACCATGAAACAATGTGAAAGTACTTAGCAATTTAGACAAAAAGATAAAAGGAAGCATAAAAAAGGGAAGCAAAAATAATGATCGTGGACATTTCTTGATCACTTGCTCTGTGGCAAGCCCAGTGTTAAATGCCTTACATATATTATCTATTTTAATCCTCAGAACAATCCCAGGGGTTTTATCATTAACCCCCTTTTATGGAGGAGAACTCTAGAGTCTACCAATGTTATGTGCATTGTCCAAGATTAGACAGTTTAGTAAAGACATAACAAGGAGCGGAACACAGGCGAGCTGACCCCAGAGCCTGTGTGCCCAACCACTATGCACACTGCTAAGATCATCTCAGCTCAGATAAGCAGCTGGGAAACCTTTGGCTTAAATTTTCCCTCCCTTGGAAACTCCAATTTGAGAGGCAGGGTATCTGAGGGAGCAGGTGGAATAGAACCCAAGAATTCAAAAGGTTCTTGAGTCTGGAAAGAGAAATGCCAGGTTGTTGTTGATGAGGAGAGAGCACAAGAAGTATAGGAACCCTGCCAGACAGCCAGATAGGAGGGAGGCCTGGCCCCACTCAGCCACTTACTGGGCTCTCCCCACGTGCTTAACAGACAAGGCCTTGAACATTCTAACAAGGGTCTCTTCCACCACCACTGTGCCAGCTTAGCTCTCTCAAGCTTGTGCAGTTTAGCACCACCTCCTACTTCTCCTCCCACCAGGAATAATTCAGGGGATTCCCCACAGCCTCTCCTTCAGGATGTGGAAACCACCCCAGGTGTCCTGAAACTTTGCTGGGTGATTAAACAGGAAGAGATCATTGAACAGGGACTGAAAAAAATCTTGTCGTCAGATGCCATCCTCCCAGTAAGGCCTTGGGTGAGGCACTAAGGGATGGAGCACAGTTCTCTCCAGGGGCCACAAGAACGTCATGTGGCCCACATCCTAGACCCAGGCCCATGGAGGTGCTGGCACAGGTAGAGATGAGCTGTGGTCTCACTCGGGGCTCCTGAGACCTGCCAGTGCCTATTGCAGTTGGCCACACTTAGGTCCCCACCCCTGCCTCCTCCAGCAGCTCGTTCTTTGGATGCCTTCTGAGATCCACTCCTGGGTGTCCAGGGCCCTGTCTTCATTTGTTACTCTCTATCCCTGTTGTCTGAACTTATTTTAGACTATAGTTGCCCTCAGTAACTATAGAGACTTTCTTCTTTCCTAATATAGGAGAGCCTTCAAAGTATCCCTAACTCAATATATTCAAAGTCCATCATTAAAAAAATGTTTATGAAGCACATACTATGTGCCAGACATAGTTCTAGGTACTGGGGATTCCACAAGGAACAGGACAGGCAAAGTCCCTGGCCTCCCTGGGCTTACAGTCCAGGGAGCTTTAACAAAAGGAGAATTTGGGCCGGGTGCGGTGGCTCAAGCCTGCCATCCCAGCACTTTGGGAGGCCGAGGCGGGTGGATCACGAGGTCAACAGATCGAGACCATCCTGGTCAACATGGTGAAACCCCGTCTCTACTAAAATTACAAACAATTAGCTGGGCATGGTGGCGCGTACTTGTAATCCCAACTACTCGGGAGGCTGAGGCAGGAGAATTGCCTGAACCCAGGAGGCGGAGGTTGCGGTGAGCCGAGATCGTGCCATTGTACTCCAGCCTGGGTAATGAGCGAAACTCCGTCTCAAAAACCCCCCCAAAAAAAAACAAAAGGAGAATTTAGATTTCACCAAAATATAGCCCAGGTAAGTGGAGGCAACACAGGAGAAACATTCAAAATAATGTCAGTAATTTTCCTTTCACGTCTAAGTGCAGCCTGCCAGAGTTTCTGAAGCATGATGGAAGTGAGATGCAGTCTCCAGCAAGTCACCTGGCCTCTCAGCCATCCTTCAAGGGTCACCTGTGCAGCCTGGGAATTCACCTAGACAGACCTCACCTGTGGCGGGAATGTCGTCTGTGCTTGGCTTCTGTCATCACCCCCTGCCTGCACTTTTCATCCAGAGGATCTGTAGGAGAGGAAAGCTGCCACATCCACCCACGGTGCTTCCTTTTGCTTTGACCTCTCCCCTGTTTGCAACAGTGATTCACGGACCTTTGCAAGCTCTGTCCACAGATTGCTTCTAGGAGCAGGTGTTTGGCTATTCGATATCACGTGGGACACAAGCCTTGCCAGGGGTTGGGGTAGCCTCACATGGTGGGAAGAGCTAAATAATTGAACTGTTAAGTAGGTAAAAAGAGGAGTTTTACATTAAGAACAAGACATTTTAAAAACTAGAATGAAAATTTCACATGAATTTCAAAGTTAAGAACATAGGAAGTCAAATAAATTTCAGCTTTCTGGCTGGCAGCTTTAGGCTTTGCCTCTGCACCCCAACCAATTCTACAGGGGATTTACTTTCCCTCTCCTCTGCCCTACGTTGTAGATTGGTTTGGAAAGTTCTGATAAGAGACATGCACTCTGATGGTGCCCTTATCTTTAGGATCACCTCTCCCAGATACTCTCTAAGCAGGGATAGGCAGGTGGGAGCAAAAGAGGCAACTTCGCTCAGCCGTTAGCATACTCTTACAGCAGCAAACCCAACTAGAAGTGGCCCTGAGCAACAAGGACAAACTATTTATTATCTCTCACAATTACAGCTTCCATAGTAAAGAAGCTCCAAGGTTGCTTAAATGAGAAGCTCAAAAATATCATCAGGGACCCAGATTTTTTTCCATTTTCTCTCTCTGCCATTCTCAGCTTGTTGATGTTTGTACTTGCAATATCCAGACATTTGAGCATCATATACACGCACAATGATAAGGGGGCAGGAAGAGCGGCAGCTTTCCTACTCCGTGTCCTTTGTAGAAAACAAGAACTTCCCCAGTAGGTTCTGCCAACCTAGCAGATTTCCCCTGGTATGTATCTCATTGGACAGAATCATAGCACAAAATTACAGGCAGGAGGAATAGCATTTCTGTAATTGGCTTATCTAATCCAGATTCTTCCACCTCCTAGCCGTGTCTCTCCCTGAAGAGTGTGGCCACTGATACTGGAGCCAAATCAAAGTTCAGCTAGTAAGGCAGAGTGCAGGGAATGGTTGTCAGCAGTCTTGCAGCCACTGAAATGTGACCTCAACACCTTCATCTCCCCACCACTCACCATCACAAAGAGCCCTGTGGGAAAGCAGGGTGATTAATGGGGGAAAAATGAATGTCAAGTGGCTTTCAGTTCCTGAGATGAAAGGGCTTTGTTATGCTTTTGTGTTAAATCATCTGGTGTATGCAACACTTCATTAGGCAAATCCATTAGATTGATTTCCCAATTTGGAAAAGTTTTATCAACTTTGTCAACTTGGAAGAAAGCAGCAGACCAAGGTCTGTTAAGCCTGATCTCTTCCACTGAGTGGGCTATGGATATGCCTCCCCACTGAGTGGCTGTGGCACACACTTGTATGCCAGGGTCACTGGGAAGTGTCATCAGAAGCACAGAACAAGAAGGCTGGATCTTAGTGCTCATCCACTCTCCTGAATGCTATGCATCTAATTACACAGAGAAGCAGGTGGAAGAGCAGACAGGAAAGGGCTTGTTCAGGGTCAGGCAGCAGAGTGGCAGAGGCAAGAGGGGAGCCCCATGTGGTGTTCATCTGCTTTCACAAAGCATCTTAGCTCCAGCTCAGGCCCACCTGGCTAAACAGCCTTCTTACAATTCTATAAATACCTTCAAATAACCAGAGTCCCATATCGCAGACCACAAGAATAGGACACGAAGCTGAGAGGCAGATGGGGGGAAGGGAATTGGGGTGACCTTTCTGATGTATAAACATTCCCCAAAACATATAGACAGTGGGCATATCTAGTGTTGGAGCTGAATAGAAAGAGCTAGTTCATCTTCTTTAGTTGAAGTAGATAAGTTGCAAGACACCAAAGGAAGGAAAGCAGTGAAAAGAGAATTTTTTTAACCATCCAGTTAAAAATAAATATGATACTAGATCCCAACAGACGAATATGAGTTTAACTACAGAAAAAGAAAAGGCCTTTGTTCTTCCATCACATTCTCCATAGACCTAGACAAAGCTGCCCAAATATCTCATAGGCTCTAAAAACTTCCTTTCAGAAGTCCTACTTTTTATTATATCAAGCCTATTAAGATACATGCATATCACACATTAAAAATAATTGATATACCACACAGTAAGAGTTGTGTTGCAGTTGACTAATTGAAAAGAAATATTTCATAGACATTAATTTAAACATTCATTTCTTCTTTTATATTGCAGTTTTCTTTACATGTTTTGTGTTTACATTTTCACCATGTCTCACACATTACAAATATTTTAACAGACCC